ATTCACAGCCTTCAATATATTAAGAAATCTCTAATTAACAATCTTCAAAAGGCAATTCTTATGAAGCCGTCATAAATAATTAAAAATCTGCTATCCCAAAATAAGTTGCACCTAAGGAAAAATCCAATGATGTCAAAATAACATCCGCACGAATTTTGATTCTTGGATTTGTGTGCAATAAATCTGTTATCACTACATCTAGAATCTAAATATGACTGCAAAAGGGAATTGTCCAAGATATCGGTGATTATAATTACTATTATGTAGCTACTAATTAATCATCAATTTTTATAGTAAGAGTCTGGGGATTAGAATTTATTAAGAAGAATCTAATTTTTGAACTAATCCTGATATGAGTATCCAAATCAATCTCCATTTCCATATATGTTCCAGCTGTCTGAAGATATACATAATCTAAATAGCAAAATAATATACCTAAACAACTTGATTAAGTAGTCACCATATTCATTGAAGTCGGTGATAAATTAATAGGTGATAATTATTAATTGAAGCATTGAGTTTCACTACATGAATCACATCCTAAAGCACATTCATGAATAATTAATTAAAAGTCTGAAATTCCCCAAAGTAATCCTTAACCTTTTAAAATTATCCATATAGATGGGTAATTATGATAAAGGGTTATAGATATGTCTGTGATTAAATAGGATTTTGATGAATCAAGACAAAAGGGAAAAGAACTCAAGTGAGTAAATCCTTGATTATATTTTGTTTGCTAATCAACAAACACTTAAAAATATTAATTGATCCAAACATCAATTCTAAGTTTATCAATATTATATATGATACATCCAAAATTTGAAAGAAAAAGAGACTTAATAATGGGGATCAAGATCAAATTTCTTAGCTATAAGAGAATTATCAATTTGATTAGCATTATCAAGAAATAAAATATTTTAGGTGCCACAAGCAATAACTTTATATTAGCAAGGTTGATGATTTACCAATAACCAATCTATCAATCATTAACAATTTTACCATTATCAGCTAAAGTAAATAATCCTGACAATTTAGAATAAACTGTTTTTCCATTTGATATATTGAGAATCATTATCATTAGGATAACTGCTTTTAGTAAACTTGTATTTTTTCTCAACAAAGAATCTAATAAGGTTGTTAATAATTAACACATCGATTAATTCAAAATTATATTTGATAGAAATCAAAAATTATATTAGTTGAAATAGGGGTGTATATTAATATTTAAAGGCTAGCTAGCAAGCTTATCAACTTTAAACAATACCTAATCTTATATTAGAATACAATCAACTTTCAACATTGTTTCAAATACTTAAATTATGAAAAAGAATGCCCATCAGTTTTATTATTAAAATAGATTATGATTAATACATTAATCTGTAATGGAATTTTATTAATATTAAGATTATCATCCTGAAAAGAAAATAACTTGTTGTGTTGATTCAAAGTGTTAATGATTCATAAGCCTTCCAAATTTGTTGAATCTATTCAACACCTTATAATGATACCTAATTGAACAAAAACTTACTCATTGAAATTAACAATTTTTTAATCTTGAATTAGAAAATATATAAATGTAATAAGTAAAAAAATGACTGAAATGTTGATGAAGCAATGGTCACGAATATAATCCTGGTTTGTATTCAGTATAATGACTATTTGACATAATTACCTTGTAGTGTTTGAGATAATCATATATATGATTGCTGATATTTAAATCAAACAAATCGGCATTACATATAGAATTGTTTTAGTTGTTAGAAATGAAATTTAATCTACCTTCGAAATTAAAGATTATATCCCAATATTAGGATTTTTTATTAAATTGTTATTCTCTCTTATTGACCTGAAGAATTCTAGAATAATTAATGATTATTCATTCAAATGAAATATAAATTTTTCTTTGTGTGCATTAGAACATTGATAACCTTAATTCAAGAATAATAACTGGTTAAAATATCACATAACCAAGTTCATGTCTAGTTCCTAAGAGATTCTATGTTTGACATTAAATTTGTATTGTTATCAGAAAAATTAACTTTATTTTTGCTTCATACAATTTTCTAAATAGATTATCGTATGTGGCTTTGAAGCAATATTTTGTTTAGGCCAGTTGTTTGTACTTGCCGATGAATAGTAATTTAAAAAAATATTATAATGCTTTGGAATAATTTCTTGTTATTAAAATTTAGATCAAATGGACTTGAAAGCCTCAAATCCAATCTACTCTTATAATAAAGCTTAACCTTATTCTTAAGTAAGGACTTGAAGCAATATCTCGTTTCAAATCTTATATCAAGAGAACAGGAAAATGAAATATATACTTTTAAAGAACCAAAGTCCAAAATTGGTGACTGAGAATAAATTGCTTTGATATTGCAAGAATAGAATTTCCAAAAAAGCAATTATTTATTTCTAAGTTATTCGAATTTCTCTTGTTAAAAGTTTTATTAGAAAATATTGATGTATAAAAATTTGATCATTTTTCAAATTAATAGCTTTTAATTCTTTATTTTAAACTCTGAGTAAATATATTATACATATTCTTGTCCCTAAACTACTTCATCAACAATAGTGTCTTCAAGTTTACTTACTTATCCTCATCTCCCTGCTAATTTGCACTTCATATTTACATCCTTTTACATTTATAAAATTTTGAATCGATCTAATATGTCAATAACAACCTTGTATATGATTAATTTTCCCTATCAATCAGTTCTATCGATGACATCCAAAATCTATAAAAAATATTATCCTGAATTTTCAAATATTGTAATCAAGATCATTAATTTCAAATATAAATATAACTAATTTTTGATTATTTTTCCAGGAAATTCAACATTTATGGATAATAACCATAATCAAAAGCCTTTCCATTAGGTACCAATATTTCTGCACTATAATGTAAATGATATTTCAAAATAAATCTACTTTCACAAAATAAAATTGATATTTAAAACTCCCACCGATATCTTTTCAGATTCATACACACTTGTAAAGTATCCATCCGAACTCCTGAATATATAATGTTGAGAAAGACATTTCTTAAGAGCTACAATTTTATATAATTATACTATGATATAGGTTTTAAGAGCAGCTCAATATTCAAATGAGAGTAAATCAAATTCAATAGTTCTAAAAAAAGAAAATTTAAAATTTTATTTTAAATGCATTTTTGATCTAAAGAAAAATCCTGAAACATCTTTGATGAATATATATAGGAGATTAAATTTGAAGGAATTATTCTTTCTGAATCCAGGAAATCTGAATTAGAAATTATCATTACCTGCTCAAATTGTCTCAATTCGTAAAGCATTTCTTTCAATTGCTGCAAATCTTTTGGACACATTCTCAAGGGTTTCAATAATTTCTGCTTTACTTCAAAATTTTTCAAAAGGATTTCTCTTCTTTTGCAATAGCCTCAAAGAATTAACATTGGTGTTTTATTTGTAAAGTTATTGTGATCAATGTATTTATAAAATATTGTTTTAAAATATATAATAATAATTTATTTAAATTTTTCAATTATACTATATTGATAACTATTAACAAATAATGTGTTATAATAAAATGATATTAACTTCATTATGGCTATTTTTCTTCAAGATATTCAATCTTGGCTTGCCTTTGTTTTTCATAAAAATAACTTTCCAAAATACAAGCCCCCTTTTATTTAAATAATGTTAGTAAGTCTAAATCAAAATAATTTGTAAATTCTCCTTTCAAAATTAATGCTCCTTATGCTGAAAAAATTGGATAATTAGAAATTATAATTGTGTTAACTAAATAAAACAAATCAATACCATATTCTTCTATTAATTCCAAGCAAAAATGCTAATTTTTCGTTAACAATTTTGTAAAGTCATCTTAATTATCTATATTTGAAATATAAAGTTATTTCCCTGTTTTGCTATCCCAAAAACAGGTTTAGTTGTCTTAACTTAAGGTTGCTATTGTCTTACAATTAGGGATAAAGTATATTGATTTAACACTTCCAGTAACACCTAATAATTAAAACGTTTGTCTACATCGTTAAATATCCCATAAACAAATTGAGTTATTTCCTCCAGATACTAATTTAGTACCATCAGGAGAAAATTATACTGACATTGTATATTTATTATGGTCATGTAAGTAAGAATTTTGCCTTCCAGTATTAACATTCCAAAAAAGAATGGAGTTTCCCCCACCACTTGATACTAATGTTGTGCCATCAGGAGAAAAACATAGAGAATTGATACCCCAAGTATGGCCATTTAATTAGAATTTTTACTGCCCTGTTTTAATATCCCATAAACGGATAGCATTATCATCATAGCCAGATGCTAATATAGAACAATCAGGAGAAAAGCATAAACATAACACCCATCCAAAATGACCGTCTAATTAAGATTTTAGTTATCCTGATTTAGCATCCCATAAGCAGATATATGTATCTCTACTACCAGACGCTAATGTTAAAGAATCAGAAGAACAGCATATGGAATTTACATCATCTTTATGTCCATTTAATTACATTTTTTTTTGTCCAGTATTGACATCCCACAACCAGATAACCCTATCTTAGCTACCAGATGCTAATATTGTATCATTAGGAAAAAAACATATTGATGTGACACTCTCACTATGACCAATTAATACAGATATTTATTATCCTGATTAAACATCCCATAAACAGATAGATTTATCTTCACTACCTGATGCCAATGTTTAACCATCTGAAGAAAAGCAAATTGAATTGATTACTTATTTATGACCATTTAATTAAGATTTTTATTGACCTGTTTGAATATCCCATAAACGGATGGTATTATCTTTACTACTTGAGGCTAATGTTTTTTGATCTAAAGAAAAGCACACTGATGTGACTGTATTAGTGTGACCTTAAGGTTCATATTTTTTTAGTCCTGTTTAAACATCCCAAATATGGATTGATCTTATTTATCACTGCAAGATACTAATGAATAGCCATCAGGAGAAAAACATAATGAATGCACTGTTCCAGTATGACCATGCAATTGTGATTTCTTTCCTGTTTGAATATCCCATAAGAAGATTGAATTATCTTGACTTCCCGATGCTAATATCTTCCCATCAGGAGAGAAACATACTGATTGGACTGATTCTGTGTGACCATTTAATTAATATTGTTTTCGCTATTTTTTAACATCCCATAACCAAATAGACTTTTTCTTACTACTGCATGCTAATACCGCACCATCAGGAGAAAAGCATATATGATTGATAGGACTATCATCAATATTCGCCAGAAGTTTTAGTTACCCTGTTTTAACATTCCAAAACCTGATAGATGTATCTCTACTCCCAGATGCCAAAGTGGCACCATCTGGCGAAAAGCAAACTGAGCAGATGGACCAGGTATGCCCAATTAGCTAAAATTTTTATTATCTAGTTTAAACATCCCATAATCTGATTGACATATCAAGATGACAAGATGCTAATATTGTACCATCAGGAGAAAAGGATATTGTTTTGTAAACTTAAAAATCGCTTTTCAATTCGAATGTTTTTCTTCTTGTTTTAAGATTCCAGAAATAGATCGACCTACTTGAGCCACATGATGCTAAAGTAGAACCATTAGGTGAGAAACATATTTATTAAACTTAACTACGATCTACTAGCATCAATTTTATTTTTCCTGTTTTTATATTCCACAATCGAATGGAATTATCATCACTACCAGAAGCTAATGAATTACCATCTGAAGAAAAGCAAACCGAATTGACAGAAGCAAAATGACCATTTAACTACTATAATTCATTTATTCTTAAATTCTTCCATTTACAATTAAATAATTTAGCTCCGTTTAAATTTATTCCACTGATAATGACATTGTCAAATTCAGATCCACTCAAGTCGCTTTTGGCAAAATTAGATCTTAACAACGAAGTGTTTTTAATTTTAATATTTGTAAAAGATTGCATCTTCAGATCAACATTCATTTCAACTAATAAATGAAGAGAATTTGACCCAATTTAAATGAAATTATTATCAAAGGAAGTGAGATGCACTAAATATTTTAAGAATTCAATAATATTTTCATTATTCCCTATTTTCTTAATCAGTACTTATTTAATATTGATATTATTGTCAGTTGAGTAATTTATGGTATTGAAGTCATGATGTTAAATTTATTTCATAACTTTAGTAATTAAATTAATATCCTTTCTTACCTCATTAAGCTTATCTAATCTTTCTTGTTGTAATAAGTTGGCAACTGGAATGTCTTTTTCCCTGCACTTATAGTTGTCATCTTGTGATAAAAAGCTGAGAGAATCTGAAATTTCTTCTTTCTTAAGCCATTCTTTTATTAATTTGAACGTTATGACTTCTATTTGTTTTGAGGCAGCT